CTCGATTTTCAAGCATTAGAAGGGCCATCTGGGGAAAACGCCTGCACGGCTGCAAGGTCTCCTTCTGGCGTCCTGCAAAATATCTGACCTTTTTTTTTTTTTCCTTTAAAGTGCCTGTTGTCTCTCTCCACCAGCTGCTGTGTGCGTGGCCGGGCTGGCCATGTGCTGGGACAGACGCGGAAGCTGACCCAGCCCCGCAGCCCTGGTGTGTACCTGTGTGCCTGTGACGGGGAGTGGGGACACCCAGGGCTCCCCACTCCTGAGCTGGCTGCCCCTGGTGTCCCAGGTGCTTGGGCAGGAGATGGGAACACAACGCGTTGTCCTTGGGTGTCATCTCCAGCACCTGCTGGCTCAGATACCCCTGGCAGTATTAGGACCAACGCAAGTAGTTGCTTCTGCATGTGAAGCCGGATCCAGGCTCTGAGGTTTTACTGGTGTAGGTAGGTCTGCAGGGCTGTGGCACCTTTCTGCTGTGATGAGAAGTTGACTGCTAGAGTATTTGGGCTTAATGCTGGCAAATTAATTCTTCTGACACTCTTGGGGAGGGTCCGATTTCAGTTCTGGCAGCAAAATAACCTTTTAGGGTTATGTGTTGTGCCTTTCTTGTGGGGCAAAGGAAGCAGTACTGGTTCAGCTATGTTGGCATGCTCTGAAAGGAAGAAAGAGGGCTACAAATCTCTACAATAGTACCTCATGTTCTGTTATTTTTGTGTTCTGGGACTTTAAGTGAATGGCTTGTAAGTTCTCTTTTGACTGTTGAGACAGTGTACTCTTAAGTCCCTTGTCATTTTAGCAGCATGCACATTTTGGCTTTATTGTCAAGAACCTGGAAATCTTTTTGGCCCCACCACTTAGAATTTGTTAAAGGTTTTTCCTCATCACTGTATTTACCAACAGCAGTGATTGCCACAGCTGAAACTCAGGAGAACATCAGGCTGTCAGTGTCAGCCCAAAGCTTTCTCTTGGTCTAAATATAGCAAAGGAGGACTGATTCTCTTTGTCTAATTGCCATCACAGAGAACAATATGTATAAGCAGGATTTTTAACTCTCAAGTGGATTATTAAGCATGCTGCCAGCCTATGGCAGCTGTTCTGTGCTGTATAGTGTACTGGTATTTGTGATGGATGCAAAGGATTTACGTTTGCTTGCAGCACAGCTATGTTGCAGGGTGAAATTAAAAGGCAAACTGAGGCTAGATCCTAATGTTAGTGCGAATTGGCCCAGTTTTATCCAATCCATAAAGCTGACTTATTGCAGTTGAGGAAAGGTCTGTGGCACGAAGGACATCTGGAAAGACAGAAATGGTGACTTCTGCTCTCCTGCAGGCTTCACGAGACTGCTATAAAGGAGGAATTGTATTCCCACCTCAGCTGCTCCATTATAAGTACTTACTACTGACCTAGTTTTTGTCCCCTTTCATTTTTGCTATATGGTTTTGAAAGTTTGGTCTCCTGACTCTTAAACATAATTTGATTTTTGAATGGGTCCTAATGGTTTGAGTCCATCCACAAAGGAAAAGAAGAAAACCTTGCCTGGTACCCTGCAACCTGCTGGGTCAGTTTGATGATGGCATGCATCATTCATCTCCTTTGTTTTACTCTTTTCACAAGCTTTCTGCGAATATAGATAGAGCTTGCATTCCCCCCCACATTCCCCGAAAGCTCCTCTTGTTGCTCTGGCTAGAGTGAAGTGTGCTTGTCTCAGCCCTCCATGCTTTCCTTTCCTGACCTGTCCTTCCCACTTTTCAGCTCAGCATTGGAAAACACAGTCAGTATGCACTGATATATTTGGCGTCCTGCACATGAGCAGGGAAGAAGGCTCCTGTGCTTTATATTATAGGGTATCCAGCATCCCTGGGAGGCAGAAATAATCTCAGCAAGGCCCCTTCCCTTAGTTTAACTGGTGAAATGATATCAGAAAACAGTGCGGCTTTGTGACACCCCTTTCTTGCTTGCCTGGTGCTCTGTGGCTCCCTTTCTGTTTGGCAAGCGAGCGCATAGGGCAGAGGCTTTCTCTTCTTTTGCTCTGCTTAGCTCAAAGGGTGCTGTTGTGCTGGGTATGTGGGTGTTAGAGTGACCAGGTTGGTCCTTCCTCCCTTGAAGGACAGACTGCTTAAGCCAGAGCTCTCTCTGGCAGCCAGCAGAGCTTTGGTGCCAGTTCAGAGTGCAGCTCTGATGAATAAATAGTGGCATTAGACAAACTACATGACTGGGCAGAGAGGGAGGGCTGGTGTTTTTGCCTCTGTAAAGCATATCTCAAAGACCCTGTTTGGCTAAAAGCCATGCTGCCCTAGGTGTTGCAGACCTGAGGTGAGGGTGGGCTGCTTGTCTGAGTGAGCAGAGAGCCTGCAACCATAAGGCTCGACTCTATTGGGAGGGGGGTGGTCCAGAAAAAAGCACTGGCACTGGGGCTGCTGGCGTAGCCAGCTGGGGAGCCAGTCCTGCTGGAACCTGGTTCTGTGAAAGCAAAGGAAAACCAGTGCCCACTGTGTTTTTCAAAAAAGCTAGACAGCTGATGAGCACCTGGTGTGGGCACCAGAGAGACTGAGGGTGGTGGGACAAACCTCTTTGGCAGGACCACATATGTAAGTCAGCTTAAGGCAGCTGTGAGTGCAGCATCTAAGGATTTGTTGAGGTCTCGTTGCCCTCAGGAACTTCTGTAAAATCCCAGATACATTGGGGTCTGTGTGTTCAGCCCTCACTGAAACCAAAAACCTTGTAAACAAGGGACAGTAAATCTGTGCTCAGGCCTGAGTCTGCCTGCTGACCAGAAGTATTGTTGCATCTTTGCATTTGCCTTATCCATGTTGAGGGAGAATGGCAGAAAACGTCCAGCTTAAAAACAACTGAATTGCAAAATGGGATTCTTTTCCAGGTAATCACGGAAGATAGTAATTAGTACTGTGTTTTTGCTCTTGGTTTAGCTCCTCCAGTGGGCACAACTAGTGTGTTGAAAGTAGGGTAATTGGCTGCCCCTTCTAAATTCTCTGCAGAATTGCTCTGTTCATATAGCAAAAGTTGTGTGGCATTTTATTAAACATAGAAAAAAAAAATCTTTAATACTTTCATTGGGTTGTTAAAACCTAAATATTGGTCCCAAACGATCAGAGAGTAAATATTTTTTTTTCCTGGTCTCTGACATGGGCAGAAGGTTTTGAGTTATTTAAATTCCGTGGGTCACAGATCCCATGGTATGCATAACTTAACATGTTCACAGATCCAGAAGTATGTCATGATTGAATGACTTTATGTACCTGACCTCTTAAAGCCAGGATCTTAAAGGCCTAAATCCTATAACTGAACAAGAATCTAGGCTCTCAGCTGTAAATTGCGAGGCCTCACATGCTCGGTCAGAAGAGTGTGTTAAGCACCCAGAGTGGAGATTTTAGAAAAGAAATAATCATACAAATGCAGGTGTTAGGCAGCTCACTCTGTAAGAATGCAGTATTACTGTGAAGCTGACAGGGCTGGCTTAAGGGCTGTCCCTGCATTTGTTTCCCATAACTGTACCACTTTATCACTAAAAGAGGAACAAAATGATATGAAAAAGCTTGTAGAGAAGGCAGGGGAGGAGCAGATGTCTGAAAAATGTTTCACTTGGGCAGACTGAGTTGGCATTCTAAAATTTCTTGAAGATGCCAGATGTGTTGAGGAGGTTGTGAAAGAAAGGGGAATCTCCCATTCCTCCCTCTTTCCTTCCTCCAAAGTGAATTTCAGTCTCTTTAGTGGGAAGCAAGAGTATCTCAAAGTATCTGCTCTGACCTCTCACGCTTGGTGGTAGACAGCATAATGTACTGGTTGAACTGCAAATACATGATTCAGATTTAAATGACTGTGTCCAAGTCATGTGGCTTCTTCAGCTTCCTCTTCCGAGTTAGATCTATTTCCTGAGACGCACAGGCTTACTCTCACCAGACGGTTAGGTAAAATACTACAGAGGAGAGGAGAGTGTTTCTTGTAGGTATTACAGCTTTACAGCGCATTAGAAGTCTGATTTTGCCTATGTACAGGTGACTGAGAATCAAAAGGCGACTGAATTATCCTTATTTACTCCACTTGCATTGTTAAGATGACTTAATAAAGGCTAAAAGGAATTTTCCTGTGACCTGGCTTTCGAGCTCCCTGAAATCCTGGCTTTAAGGCTGTTTTGCAGTATTGAGGGCAGTTTACCTCTTCTCTCTGGTGTCTGTAAAGAAGAGCTGTTCCTTTCCTCTCTGCACTGTACCACTGCTTTGCTTGTTTTTCTGCACAGTAGTAGGTGGAAAGAAGCCAAATATTTCTAGCCCCAACTTTTACACTCCACGTTGTTGCCCATCCAAGTGATTTTGCTTTTAATCACAAGGCAACATAAGTGGAGGGGAGGAAGTGGCTCACCTAAGGAGACAGGTCTTTTCCTCTCTGCGCAAACCTCTCCTTGTCCATGGGCAATGAGAACTGCTTATGAGATTCATCTGGTTAATAAACAGTCGTAATAGGGAAGATGGCCTGTAACTCCTGGTTAGTGGCTTATGTAAAGCCAAGGCTCTGGGTTACTAAGAAACTTCTGCTACCTGCTGATGCCTGTGGGAGTGTTGTGCCAGAGCTGAGCTCCCTTAGCTTCCTAGCAGGCAGCCAGCATTTGAGGTGAAGCTTTGTTTGCCCCATGCAAAACAAACACTAAGTACTGAGAAACCTCCTTTCTAAAAGTAAAAGTTTACTAATGGGAGAGGGAAAATAGAGGCAGCAACTGTGAAAGCTGTGGCAAAGTATTATATTGCTTCAGTGCTGCATTTTGCTCTTCTCTCTGACCGCAAAAGTCACCATGATTTTAACTGAACAGATAGCTATGCCTGGAGTGACAGCAGGGTAAACCAGCTGTTAGGAGATGGAGTTACATAGCATGCTGTAG